ATCTCTCCAAGACGACAGACAATTTCAGTTATTATACCCAACAAATTAGTCTTTCAAATATGACGATGAAATTAAGGCATTTGCAGATTAAACAGAAACTAATGAAATTTGGGGAAACAGAACCAACCTTACAAAAAGTCCTAACAGGAGTTCTTTTGATAGAGAACCTTCAGAGGTAGGCAACAACCTGAGATTAACATACATGATGCACTGAGAAGTCTATCTAGATATAGAAGTAAAACAAGCCTACAAAATGAAAATAGGGAACCAGAATTTCAATTTATAATGTAGATCTCAGGAGAGTAACTCACTGCCATCAAGTAAATGCCGACTTCTAGCAACCCGATAGGACAGGATAGAACTGTCCCTCTGGGTTTCTGAGAATGTGACTCTTTGCAGGAATAGAAAGCCTCATCTTTCTGCCAAGGAGCCACTTGTGGTTTCAAACTGGTGACTTGTTGAGAAGCCCAAGGTGAAACCACCACACCACCAGGGATCCTCTTGATTTCAGAACAGAACAGAAGATTTTAAACTGAAAGTAGTGAATTACAAAAGGAAACTATTGATGAGATCACTATTGGGAGGGCAGTGCTCTTGTGATCATGGTGTAATATGGTGGAGGTGCTGGAGAAGACTATTGAAAGTACCATGGACTGCTAAAAGGACAACCTAACCTGTGTTGGAAGAAATACAGCCAGAGTGCTCCTACGAGGCAAGGATGGAGAGACTTTGTCTTACATACTTTGGACATGTTGTCAGGAGAGACCAGTCCTTGGAGAAGGACATCATGCTTGGTAGAGGGACAGCGAAAGAGAGGAAGACCCTCAAAGGGGGCTGGATTGACACCATGGCTATAACAATTAGCTCAAGCATCGAAACAATTGTGGGGATGGCCCAGGACTGGGTGATGCTTATTTCTGTTGTACAGAGGGTTGCTATGAGTCAGAACCAGTCGGCACTTAACAACAGCAACTATTGTAAAAAGTCAAGAAAAGGCTTTTACACTAAAATAAGCATTATTTGACCAACCAAGTGTAGAAGAGGAAACGGGTGGAAATAACTGCTTAGAGCATGAACAAGTGTTAACTTTGGGTGAAGTGAAAGGTAACATACAATGAGAGGGAAATCTGTAACCACAACAACATGATGGATTCAGGGGAAGACACTAGATGGTATACAAGAATTAAAGGCAACGGATGTAAATACTGTTGGATACACAATCCTGCGATAACAGTGAGTTTTGAGTAGCTGTATGGATAGACTCACAGAGTGAACAGGTGTGGGAGGGAGAGTGGAAGTTTGACAGAGAATATGTATACATGTGTGTTTATTTTTGCTGAACATGTATCCGTGAGCGTGGTGGAGCATACAGAGAGCAATTATGAAAACATTTTAGACATAGCCAAATACCTTGAGGGAATGAAATGCTGGCTTTGGAGGTTCTTGGGGAACACCAAGATCAATGGACATAACATAGCTCACAAAGACGATATTCTACATTTACTGTGATGATAGTGAGTCAGGTCTTAAAACCTCGTGAGAAACCATTCAAGATACAGCGAATGATCTCCACCCAGAGGAAAGCAGAGCGATGAAACTGAACAACACATGAAAACCAGCTATCCAATGGGCTAATGGATCGCACCAGCCAGTTTTCATAACCCTGAGCCCAGAAAAGTTTGATGGTGCCCAGCCATCACTATGACCGGAAACGAAAGGGATCACATGAGAAGATCCTGGATAGAGGAAGCTAAAAGCACAGCACAAAACTCAAAATCATAAAAGAGATCAGCTTACTGGTTGCATAGAGACTGGTGGAATCCCCAAGACTACGGCCCTTAGTCACCCTTCGGTCTGGCACTGAACTCACTCCTGCGGCTCAATTTTCAGCCAAACAATAGACAGATCTAGGGAAACAATAACAGTACAGAAACGTGCACACATTAGCATCAACAGCCATTTGAGATCAGAAGGGAGGCACTCACCTAAGGACAAACTTCAATAGGTTAGGACAAAGGGAAATAGGAAACAGGAAACACAGGTAAGTAGTGGGATAAATGATGATACATTGAGGGGATGACAACGAATGAGATGAAGCAAAATGTGCACAAATTGTTCAAGGTAAAACCGATGGTCCGCTCCACTCGGCGAAGTACATATGCGTATGTTGTCCTAGCCTGTATGCTTGCGCCTCTAATCCCATTCAGGAATGGGCTGTCTTGAGTCAAACTCTTGTGAGATAAGAAAGAGGTTAAACAAGCACACTAGCCTGCCAAGGTGGGGGGAAGGTGGATGCCAAGGCACTTGGAGATCTGCAAGGAACCAGGAAACATAAGCTAAGGAACTCTGCAGAGCCGCCCCCGAGAGAACACCGTTCTCCAGAGCCAGAAGCCTGAATGTACACTTATGGCCACCTAACCTCGGAAAACATCCATTTCTCCGCGTTAAAGACACTCACTTGTAATATTTCTCTTGTGGCTGCCCTAGATAACGGAGCCAAAATAGCACTCCTCTTTGGAAGCAGACTGAAGGAATGTATAGTTTTGTGGAGAATGGAGCCTTTTTGACCTGTCGCTCTGAAAGAGCGAGTGAAGAGCAGGCTAGTTTTTATGACTAGAAAGTGGTGTCTCCTACTAGGAATGTAAGAAGCAGCTACGTTTTAAGAGAGGCGTGCTGTTTGAAAAACACACAGCCAAGGAGAGTGTCACCCTATCAGAAAATAGCAGGCCCAAGTCTTGGAAAATATCTCCCACGAATGCTATGAGAATGAATGGATAGATAGAAAATGAATCAAAATAAAAGATGCTTAGGTCAGGGACTAGTACATCCTGTGGCATCAATAACTGTTTGGCAGAGATCTTTCCTTGGCACCGTCAGCACAGGGAACCAGCACCCTCTTCACGCAGACTCCGGCTCAGCAGCACCACCATGAACCAAGCCTGAAGTCTTCAGGTTCTTAAGAAATGTGGGCTGGAGGACAAGAGGTCTTTAAGAAGTTAACATGTGAACCCTGCTACTAAGGCTTCGAGGCAAATCCACCAGGCACTGCTGTGGAGTGGACCCTAACTTGTAGAGACCCGATAGAACAGAGAAGAACTAACTGCTCCTTAGGATTTCTGAGACTATACATCTTTACAGAGGCAAATAGCCTCCTTGCTTCCACCCACTTTGTGGCCAGCAGCCCAATGCTTCACCTTTAGTAATTACAGGTAGTCTCCAGTTTATGATATATTCGCATTATGAAGAAGACCCTCAGGACCAGCGTGTGTGTGTGTGTGTGTGTGTGTGTGTGTGCTCACACTCTCTCAAGCACACTTTCGAGAGCACATACCTTAGTGTTAGTAATATGTATTACATAGAGTGTTGCAGTGGGTCATTTGCTGATATCATTCTCAGATGTTCAAAGATTGTATTTATAAAGATACTCATAATAAAAAAGCGGTAACAAAGCAAAAAGAACGAAAAAGAGGTATTCGACTCTTGTCAGAACTGATGTATGATGAGTCCTCAGAATGGCAGCCCCTCATAGGTGGAAGACGACTTGTATTCGTAAAAATGTTAAGTGCAAGCTGGTGAACTGGGCCAAGAGCAGTAACATATTGATCGTGTCGGGAGGCGAGCATCAAGGAACGCCAGTTTAACAGAACAAAGTGTTCTTGCGTCGAGGGAGTACTTGAGTAGAGACCCAATGCCTATCTGCTACCTTAATACTAAACCTATAAATATATGCACATAGATCTATTTCTCCATCGTCACATAAAAATATATTTGCATTTGCACATGCCTGTATTTAGACCTCTATAAGTGCCCTTTGCCTCCTGGCTCCTTCCTCTATTTCCTTTTACTTTCCTCGTGTCCCACTGTCATGTTCAGCCTTCATTTGGGTTTCAGTAATTCCTCACTGTTACATTGCCCTTGCTTTATACAATTGACGTATGTATGGATTGTGATAAGAGTTGTATGAGCTCCAATAAAATGCTACTGTTATGAATTGGGCAACCCTATGAAAGGGTGGTTCAACCCCAAAGGGGTCGAGACCCACAGGTTGAAAATGGCTGCCCTAGAGCCTGCACCTGGGACTTCCATTTCTAGCCTCCTAAACTGTGAGAAAATAAATTTGATTGTTAAAACCATCATTTATGAAATTTCTGTTATAAATAAGTAATATACCATTGTATTTTAAATCTTATTCTCACCCTGCCAATCTCTCTCTCTCACATATACACATATAGTGCATACATGAGGAGCCTTGATGATATAGTAGTTATGAGTGTTGGGCTACTATCCACAAGGTCAACAGTTTGAAACCACCATCAGCTTCCCAGGAGAAAGACTGGGTTTTCTAATCTAGGAAACAGTTAAGTCTCAGAAACCCACAGGGGGTAACTATGAGTCAGCTTTGACTCGATGGCAGTGCGTTTGTTTGTTCTGCGAGTGCATATATATTATATGCATATATACAGTATGTGTATATAATATGTTCTCTCTATATTTGTGCATGTATAGTATGTGCATAAGTATCATAAATTCTCTCTCTACACACATACACACACAACTTATCACCTTTTAACATCCCATGTAATGCAATTGCTTACTGTCTCTGGGGTTTACTTTCTGTCTATGATCACTAGAAGGTCCACAAGGTCAGAGGGCACTGTTTGCTTTGTTCATTCATGATTTCTAAGTTCCCAACAAGCGTTTGTTGGACCAATGGTATCTAGTGTCTTTCTTAACCTCCACTGAAAATGTGTCTTGCTTTTTGTGTACTAGATCCCTCCAGGCATAAGCAGCATGGATTAAGCTTTTCCCTTTGCAGATATCAACTTTGGGTGCGGCATGAGCAGTAGCAAGGGGTAAAATAGCAGAGAGAGCCTTAGGAAGGAAGGAGTGGGTCAAGAAGTATGGGAAAATGCAAATGAGAAGAAAAAGCATTGATTTCAGCCAGACCAAGGCGAGAAGCTTCCTGGATACATTTGCTTCGTTAGGTGGATGGCTTGTACCTGATCCGTGCACCAGTACCAGAGGGAAGGGGTGGACATTCCAAACAAGATTCCAGGCCATGGAAGATCAGAGGTTACTGGGTCTCGGAAAATATGGAAGGCATCTTCTCGAGGCAGTCCACAGCTGCTATTTTCAGTCCGGTTGCTAGCCAGGGCTAAGAAGTACTTCTCCTTCAAGCCTTCCATCCCTCCAACTTCAGCAAAACCTAGAATGCAGAGGGAGTCCAAGTTTACCAGAAATTCAGATCCATTCACAGCAAGTGATGAGTACCACAGGGAAATCTTAGAGCAGAATTTTCAAGAAAAATTGTTCCCTATAAGAAACAATCAAACCTTTTTCTTTCTTTCTTTTTAAAATGAATACCATTTTCATTACCTGATGGAGATTTGATGGCATAGTGGACTACAAAGTGAAATGCTAATTACAAGGTTAGCTGTTCAAACCCACCAGCCACTTCACAGGATAAAGATGAGGCTGTTTGTCCTCATAAGGATTTAAAGTCTCAGGAAACCAAAGGTGCAGTTCTAATTGTCACTGAGAGTTGGAATTGACTCAGTAACATTGAGTTTGATGTTCTGAATTGATGGCTTCTGAGAATATTAATTTTTATATAGATACTATAAAATACATAAAAATTGAATACAACCATTAAAATCTAAAAATGTGAAATAGTAATGTATTTGCTCCATTAAATACTAAGAGCTAACTCTAGATCTAATATTGGTTTCAAAGTAACTATGAGCACACACTATATTTCAGCTCTAATATAATATAAAACTGGATATCATATTAACAACTATAATATAATATGAGGGGGTACCCAAAACAACCCCAGAATTATTTTTTCAAAGTTACGTATTTAAATATTTTTTACAAAATAGCCTTATCACCTTCAAAATGCTTTCCATTGCACTTAATACATTGCTGTTCATAACATAAATTAGTTTCTTTAATTAAAAAAAAAGTAATGTTTATACCAAACATGAAGACAATTAGGATCACGATGATGTTCTGAAACAATTATAGTTACTTAAGCAAGTCCATTGGCTTGCTTTTTTTGAAATGTAATCTCTTCAGAGCTGAAAATTACTTATAATCAAAACATTGCACTTGCAAAACCATGGGTAGCATCTGATCGCAGCTGTTTCTTCCATTGACTGGTGTCTGAAGAATAGTTTTACAGGGTAAAAATGAATTCAAACACATTCAGAGACAACGTCCATAGGTTTAGGACAGTGAACAGTGGTCAAGCCATTCCATTAACCAACTCCAGTCAAGACTCTGCCCTGCTCCTCGTTTGCTTCACACATAACAATGCGTAAGTGGCTAAGACCATCCAGATTTTCTTCTAACATTTGTGCAAACGTCTCCCCATCTTGAGGAGTTACCACGCATGACAGAGGATGTTCGTGTTCTGCCCAATTCACTGCTTACAGCCCCAAAGCTGCTCAGTTGACCAAACAGCACTTGAGAACATGGTCCTGCCCCTGCCCCATGTGCACAATGATCTTCCCCATCTTGGTGCTGTCACTGTGCAAAGACTGGTGCTTTAGTGGCTTATGTAGATCAATGGCATGCTGCTCCAGAGATTCCAGCAAGTCCCCCTGCCATCTTCCATAGGGACTCTTCTGTACCGAGACATGATCTGATCCTCCAGGTAAAAAATCATGAGACAAACAAAAAAGTAAGGATAAACAACCCACTCTCAGGAGATAAAGCAATAAATAGTACCAAGTTGAGTGGTACTGCAGAGACATTGTAACTATCAGACAAAGAGATAGAAATAACTGTGATTAATAGTCAATGGGTTCATCAGTAGAATCAATACCGCTAAAGAAATATTCAGTGAACTTGATATGTCAATAGAAACACCCAAACTGAAATAAATACAAACAGAAAAGAAAGTTGTGGGATACTTTCAAATGACTTGACCTATATAGGTCATTGGAATTCCAGGTGTATCAATAGTAGTAGTAGTAGTAATAGGAGGAGAAAGAGAGAAAGAGAAAGAAGAAATAATAGTCAAGAATTAAAAATACGGGGAAAGAGGGAAAAAAATGAGGAGCTGATACCAAGGGCTCAAATAGAAAGCAAATGTTTTGAGAATGATGAGGGCAACAAATGTACACATGTGCTTGGCACAATGGATGTATGAATGGATTGTGATAAGAGTTGTACGAGCCCCCAATAAAATGATTTTTTAAAAGAATTAAAAAATAAGAAAAATAGAAGATATTAAACCACAAATCCAAAAAGCATAGGGATTATCAAGCAGGATAAATATAGCCCTCATCAATCCATAATCCTGTGGTGCAAACTTAAAAATCAAAGATAAAGAACAAATCTTGAAGGCAGTCAAATGGAATAGAGCTGTGGAGAGGACCCAAGACTACATACAGAAATACAAAGACACAGAGTCCAGTAGACTTCTCCAAAATTATGGGAGAAAAATGTGGAACAAGACTCAAAATTATTAGGGGGAAAGAAAAGAACAGGCTTGCTGCTCTGAGAGAGGCTAGTGGTCTTCTGTCACTCTTCCAGCCTGAAACCAAGCCCCTGGTTGTGAGTTCAACTCTCAGCCAAACAACAGACAGGCTTCTTAGATACACAGTAACACCAGTGAGCGGCATTCCTCCTTTATTTCTTATTGTTGGTATTTGTATTCTATTCTGATTATTGATTTTTCTTTTTCCAGCAGTTTTATTGGCATATTTATACATGATACAATTCAATACCTCGATCACACTGAGAAGAGTTGTAATACAATCACTACCACAATCAGTAATAGAACATTTTTTTCGTTCTTGGACTCATTGTTATTAGCTCCCCGTTTTCCCCCAACCTCCCTAGCCATATTCCCAAGTAACCATGAATTCAGTTACTGTCTCTATAGATCTACCTATCCTGAATTTCATACATAGAAAAAAAGACTAACAAGAATAACAAAGTGAAACAGACAAAAACCTCAATCAAAAAGAAGGCAAAAATATTAAAAATTATAACATATTTAAATGAATCAGAAAAGAGATCAAATGATAGAGTGCTAAATTCTAACCTAACTGCATCTGCAACAATCCACTTTCCACTGCATTATACATGTTAGCAAGGCTACTCAACTGCGATCAGAGGGAATTCACTGGAGGCTTAATGCATGCGTGGACCCTGCAAATGGATTTTGGGCTTCCACTGTCATCCAGGGTCTTCTGTAAACCATGTGTTCACAATTTAAGCTCTGATGCTATTCCCTCCTTTAGATTTGGATTATATTTTTTAAAATCCTTGAATCACACAATCTGGTGTGCTTCTTCCATGTAAACTTAATTGATGCCTCACTTAGATGGCTCCTTGTTTGAAAATAAGCCTGTAAGACCCCAACCACTGTTCAGGGCAAGATATGACAAAATACCCATTTATAAACTATCAAGGGCTCATGAGGGAGGGGGGAGCGGGGAGGGAGGGGAAAAATGAGGACCTAATGTCGGGGGTTTAAATGGAGAGAAAATGTTTTGAGAAACGATGTACAAATGCGCTTTACACAATTGATGTGTGTATGGATTGGGATAACAGTTGTATGAGCCCCTAATAAAATGTTAAAAAACAAAACAAAACAAAAAACCCAACCACTGTTCTTTCTCATAGCCAGGCACCATCTAACTTCTTCATCACACTTTGCTATAGCACCCATATCTTCAGTGATCCCTTCCTGAGAGCAAGCATCAAGCAGGGCCATGTCACAGAACTAATTGTACTTAAATTGGTATTGAATTAAGAGGTGTGGCACTCATTAGAACAATCAACCATATGAGGAGAGAAGGGCAACATTTGCCCAGAGATAAAGCTCAAAAGTCAGAAAGGGTTAGGAAGCCTATGGATATGGGTAACACAGAGAGGAAGTGAGAAAGGGTGTTGTTAACTTGTGTGGATTGTAGCCAATACCACAAATCAAACTATTATATTATAGTTATGTGTGAATTGCTAAATGGAAAACAATTTACTTGTAAATTTTCACCCAAATCACAAAAAAATGTTTTTCAAAAACTCTGTAACACAATTGATTAGCATCTTTCAAGTCCTGGGGAGAAAGGCAATCTCTTGTTATTTAATTATAAAATATTATAGCCAGGGAATTGTTTTTAATTAAGAAGAGAGAATGTATTACCAGAAGACCTTCAGTACAAGCAATGAAGATCTCAGGAAGTAGTTAAAATGAAGTTTAATATGAAATAATTTGGTCTTTTTCCCCCCAGACATACTAAAATAAATTGGCTGTCTAAAACAAAATTAGTAGCTGTATTTTGGAATTTATAGCATACTTAAACATAAGATATATGGCAGCAATAGCACAAAAAAGGAGGGAGGATTTGAAAGTCTACTATTATCAGGTTTTAATATTATACATGAAAAAGTATAATATTTTTTAATAAATCACCTTATTGGAGGCTTTTACAGTTCTTATAACAATCCCTACATCAATTGTATCAAATACATTTGTACATATGTTACCATCATTATTTTCAAGAAAAGTATCATATTATATTCACATAATATAGTTGTTTTTCCTAATAAATTACTCTGTTCTTCAAGAAAATGTACCAAATTTACCTCTTTAATCCCATAAAACAGTTGCCATAACCTTCTGAGTTCATCTGTCTTCCTGGACTTTATCTGGACCAGCAGATCCCCTCTGAAAACCATGTTTTCACTGAAGTTTTTAGAAGCCACTCTACTGAGAATCAGACTATTGTAGATTGAGAGAATTTGTTTACAGCCGTGTACTGATCACACAGACAGGTTTAAACATGCTTTGCTTGGACTAAGCCTGCATACGTTTGAACGGGAACCCTAGTAGCAATACTTTTTTGCCTACCCTTGTATTAACTCATTCGATTCTCACAGTTTTCTAAGTGAATTTTATAATTCAGATCAGGAGTAGAGGAGAACTTGCCTTTAGTCACAATACTAATGAGAATCACATCTTCTTAGCCACTTGTACTGTATGACATGAAACAGGCAGAAATTAGAATCCCATTATCTAGGTACAAAATCTGTCCTGTTAACCTCTATGCTATACTACCCACCATCAAAAATACTGACAGGTTCTGAAGCTTGTTCAGGTCATAAAAATCTACACCTCATGATGATGGGCCATTAACTGATAGCTTTATCTCTTTCGATCTCCTACTTAACTGCTCCAAGCTTGTTAGC